TCACAGCTGATGATCAGCTCATCGTAGAGCTTTTAAAATGCTTGGATAAATCTAATCAAAGTATCTATTATCGAATTGTGAAAAAAAATCATCGCTTTTTGAAAGTTGAAATTTGAATTAAATGCCGCTAGCGAGACCAAATCGCCCACTGTGCTTAGGGGGAAAGCATGCGTTAGTAACCTAGAAGTAATCCAGAGAGCCCAATCAAAAATATTGAGAACTATAACTGGTGCACCGTGGTACGTACGGAATGAAAACATTCACAGAGACTCAAACGAGGGATCTGTTAAAGAGTACTAAAGTACAGTATTAAAGTACACGCTCAAGCTACAGGCTCATTCAAATAGGCTTGCGCGGTCTTTAACCTGGAACACTAGCCACACACGACTCCGGCGAAGAGATCTACGCACCCCGCAACAATAGCTAGGGCCGTTATTTCAAAGAAAACTTAACGTTAAATAATTAATTATATGAATTAGGCTAAGATTTAAATAAATAAACACCGTAATTAAAAAAAAAAAAAAAAAAATTCGCCCATTTGCCCTGGGGATGTGTCGCCTTTTTGTTTGTAGGTCGATATTTTTAAAACCATTGGAGCTAGAGCAGATTGGAGCTGTGTGCAGATTTCAATGGTGAATACGCAGCGAGAGAAGTTTTGAGGAAATTGCCACATCCACTTTTACAGCTTAAAGTCGACAATCCTTGTGCTTTGGGGACACACCATTTTTGTTGAATCGAATTTTGGAAACAAATACGCAGTAAATGGCGTTGTCCAAAATTTTACGTTTACCCTCCAGAATATGGGGCGTTTCAGCCCTACTGCCTGTAGAGATTGTTTTGTCTCGTTCGTTCAACATTGGAAAAGTTGTTGGAACATTCAAAAAGTTGTTTTTTGATATAAAACAAAAAGGAAGCTAGCTCCAGCAAGCCGAAGCTTATATACCCTTGCAGTCATCAAATATGTCGAACAAAATGCATAAAGGCTAAACAACATCGAAGCATTGACGATTTCTCTATTAATTTTCCATATTTTTGTTAGATCATATGGTAGCTATATGATTTAGTTGTCCGATTTTGATCAAATTGAATTCGTAATTCCAGAGTCGTAAGAAAACTCTATATTTCAACAAGAAAGGAAGCTAGCTTCGGCAAGCTGAAGCTTATATACCCTTGCAGTCATCAAATATTTCAAACAAAACGCATAAATGCTAGACAACATCGAATCTAAGACTATTTTTCTATTCATTTTCCATATTTTTGACTATAGATCATATGGGAGCTATACGATATAGGTGTCCGATTTTGATCAAATTCAATTCGTTATTCAAGAGTCGTAAGAAAACTCTATATTCCAAAAATCATACTTGTCTGATGAAAAACTACGATGTTATAATTTATTTCCCTTATTTCTATATAGATTTTTCGATCTTTCCTATGGCAGCTATAAGATATAGTTGTCCGATTTTTATGAAACTTTTTTCTCAATATAAGGGTTGTTAAAAAACTTGATATTCAAAATCATGCTCGTGGGATAAAAAACAACGATGTTATCTTTCCTATGGCAGCTATATGCTAGAGTTATCCGATTTTGATCAAATTTAATCCGAAATTCTATAACAGTTAGAAAACGCAATCTTGAAGAATTCAAGTCGATCTGATCAAAAACAAAGGCGTGAGAATTTTTTATTTTATTCTCTCGTATGGGAGCTATCCGATATAGTCGGCCGATCCGGCTCGTTCCGACTTATATACTGCGTGCAATAACTACACAACTTTTGGGAAAGTTTCAGCAAGATAATTCGATTCAGATCGTGATGCTGATCAAGAATATACCTATGTATATAGTTTATGGGGTCCTTCACTGCGTAGCAAACTTCTGACTAAAATTATAATACCTTCTGCAAGGGTATAAAAAATCGCAGCACTTCTCTAAAAATATTCGAGGATTATTCGGTTGACAGACAGACAGAAATGGCCAGCTTCACTTATGGATGACGATGATCAGAATATGATGATTTCGGGAAAATAGTTACTGTCTCAATGCACGTACCTCATCTTAAACATAAAATTAAAAAAGAACTGGTTTTATAGTTATTAACCTAATTAACTAAATAAGCCATTGTAACAACATATTATATTTTAAATATATAATTTTTTATTAATTACACGTTTCGTATATCGTATATATAGACTTCTGTTAGATTTATGTTTATGTATATATTTACATCTTAGTTAAACAACTATGCAAAGTGTAAGTGTATCTAAGCCTAAATAAATTTGTTAAATATGAAATTAGTTTCAAAAATGTAATTATTTACGCCCATATTTGCAACATAAGCAGTTGGCGCCAGACCCTCGACTTTAACCTGTATATTATCGTATTAATGTTTTTCTCAAACTTAATGTAGTGCTTCGATCTCTAAAGTATAGAAGTTTTAATCTTTCTGTATTGTAATTTTTAGCAATATTTTCAACTTTAATTAAATTTTTTTTTAAATTTAATGTCAGTTTCAAACATTTAAGCACGTGCATATATGTACAAACCCGAGAGTATAGGTATACATATACATATATATGCACCATGAGTTTTGGACAATTGATTCCTTGTTTTGGAGCCCAATATCAAGCCCGGGATAATACACAGTAAGAATTTGGTATGCATATGCTTCTATTTGTTGTATCGGTTTAAATGCTAACAATCTCTACATCTCTCTCGTTATCAAAATACGGAATACGGCAACACAGTGAATAATCGCGATATGGGAAGTTGTGGAAACAAAACAATATTTGATTTATCAACTTATCACTTTCGGAGCATAAGTCTAAAAGGTGAAGTAAGAGTTTGCTGGCAGTGTAGCATGTAAATAATAATGCAAGTGAAATAGAAAACTATTTCTACCCGATCCATCGATCCACCCGTTTTCTCTGGAGAGGGCAGATCGTGTTGAATCTTTTATTTTCACGTTCCGTTACTATCTTGTTTCTTCTTACGTATCTCGTGTGTAATGGGTTTTGTTTAGAATATTTTCAGTAAGCTGATTAGATTATCGACTTTTTGTATTTCTCGTTACACTAAAATGCATCAATTCAGTTTTCAGTTGGTATTTTGTATTCTCTGTTTGTATTTTCCGGAGAAACGATTTTACTCTCTAAGTTCTTTGTCTTCGAATTGTGTGCGTTGTCAATCCAATATACGTATAGTTTCTGACTTAAAGATATACTCGAAATCGTATCTTGAACTGGTTGTTATAATTGTATATATTTCGTAGATATCATGTTTCCATTTAGATTTATATTACTGATTGCTAGACATTGCAAATGAAATAAGACTTATGGCGTCTCCCCTTTAAATTACGCTAAGTTCAAAAAATGGCTGCGGTTTGATAACTAGTCAATCTGTATGATATTAGATCTCAATTTCGGTTTGGCAGTGAGAAAAACTAAGCTATTTACTCAAGTGAACAATTATAATAATGGTTAAAAAAAACTTAGGGTCAATATTGCGCTTAAGTCCGATAACGCCTGAAATCAAAATTCTATAACGAAAATAATAACTATGTTCAAGGTATTTGGTTTTTCCTGCTCATACTCTGCTGCTAAGGTCTCGCTTGTAGTTACATTTATTTTTATAATGCTTAAAACCTTTCAATCACCCTTTATCTGCCGCCCATCCGTTTCATCATAATTTGTTTTGCTTGAGGTAGTTTTTCAATTCAGGATTAATATCTACACGTTGAACACAAAATGCGTGTAATTGTGTGTGAGTGTCGATCAATTTCTTTAAGGTTTTCAGGCTGTTCACGGTCGTGGTCGTGGGTTCTAATTAGTTAGGTCTAGATGTTGGGGCAAAACAAGTTACAAGTTTACACATAACAGAAAACAGTGCATAAAAATAATCAAAGTCTCGAATTTTAAAGATCTACATAACGATTTTGTTTCACGATTCAGCTTTAGCTTGTATTTCTTTTGGTTATTTTCTTTATATGAATGGATCTTTCAACAAATTGTTACTTTATACCATACAATCTTGTATTTTCGTAATTCATCAGGTTGCATTATTTGTATTTCTGTTAGTCGCATTTTTTGTTTGTATTCTTATAGAGCGAGAGCTATAAATATATATTTATTAATATATGCATATTTACAGATCTTAGGCGTGCTATAATGTAATATTTGAAGGATTTAGCGAGGGTCTATCGAGGGTTTTTATTATGCTTGACCTACAGTATATTCAACACTTCACTTTGCAAATCGAACATATATAATTATATTGAAATTTTCTGCAGCAACTTATTTTTGTTACTTTACATCCTAAAGCTATTTTATAGCTTTGTTGTTTTTCCCATTGAAAAGATAACCAATCATAAACACAATGTAGAAAAGATACAAAACTGTTTTCTGCTTACTTATTTCTCAATTTTTCATATTTTCCGTTCGTTCTTAGCCAATTTCACAGCCATTTGCATCGCATGCAAATTTTGTTCAAATTCTGAATTTCTAGCTCATAAGTCTTTCACTCACATCCCAAAAGTTTTTATCTTTTCCTTAGCAAACAAAAATTAAACACATGAAATACAACGAAAAAAACCTCTAAAATAAAAAACACTTGGATTTTTTAATTTTTTTTGTTTCCATCTTTTTTTTTTTGTTGTTTTGTTTAACATATATGTATTTTATATGTTGTTTTTATTTTTTTGCTTTAATGTCACTTGCGGCAATTAGGTAAAAAGGTAAAAGTATTTCGTAGTACGAAAAAGGACTCTGCTTTAAATTACGTGTAGAACTACAAAACAAGTTATGCATTAATAGAATTATGTATATTTTTAAAAATTTAATTGAACGTGCTTGAGTGCATAATAAAAATAATCGAGCTTAAACCGATTGAAAAACCGAAAATTAAAATGACTTTGAAGAGCCCGTGTCGTCGCTGGTTTGGATTTTTCCTTTAAGGTTCCCTCCGTCCAATTGCGAATATTATGAATAAATAATTCACTGCTTTCTGTTTGTCAAAGTGCAGGCTACATTTAATTAGAATTCTTTTCTCGAAAGCTTGCGCTTGTTTGATTAGAGTTACTTTCATATATATCCATGATATCAAGCTACTTTTAATTCATCTTTACACAAATTCATCTTTATAAATTAATTTAACTTAAAAGTTTACATGTGTGGCTGTGTGTGTGTCGTATGTATGCGTTGTGTGTGTAAAATAATATTTAAACTAATATTAGTAGTAAAAGTAAAAAAATTGCACAATTCAAGTAGAAAGCTATGTAAGATGGTTTTTATCTTCACACAATAAAAGAATTTCACTTTTAACTTAACGTTTAATTTTATTAATATTTTACAGTTCTTTAATTTTATTCATTTTCAAACACAAATTGCTACTAAAATTAGAATAAATTTGATTTAAGTTAAAATAAGGCCAACAATTTTAGAAAACTTTTTAAAATATACATCTCAAGCAAAATAAAAATAATATAAATATTTCAAAATCAATTGCATAAATTTTTTTAACATAAAAATTGCCAAAGTAAACTTGCACGTTTTTGAGTTGGTTTTCATAAAATAAATTTTGATTTTGCCAAATTTGTTGAATTTTGTCGCTCCTACAAATTTTGAATTATTTATGTAAATTTTATAAATGTATATTGAAGTCTTTTGGTGTATGTGTTTAGTTGTAATTGGGTGGCTGTTATCAAAGTGATTGAAAACTATTTTTCACCTAAAAGTGCTTGTTGAATTTGAAATTAATATTTATTTATAGACTTAATACCTTTTGATGCCTTTTGGTTTTTGAGTAAGACTCCAATCACTTTAATTTCAATTTCATTTGCTAAAGTTCAATATAAAAATTTTCTTTTGAAAAAATGTTTAAAAACGATGCCAATATTAAAGGTTCTTGGTTTTTGCTTGCAAATATTTTTGGGTGGAAATTAATAGAATCTTAGAATTAAAATTCTCGTTTTTAAAAATATAGGGAGGGCGTAATAAAATATTTTTGTTTTTGCTTCTCGTAATATTTTTTGCCTTTCGTTATGAATAAAAAATATTTATAAAATCAGTCCAAGTTTTGCGTGTATTTTAGAGTTGTTTGTTTTGAATTAATTTAAATGTACTTAGTTACGGTGAATGATAGTGTTATTATCATAACGTTTACTTTCATTTAACAAATTTACTCGCTTCTCTGGAGTAAGGATTTAGAGATATAGTTAGATATTATACAGTTGCTTTCATTAAGTTTACAGTTAATATTTATTATTTTATATATTTTTAAAATATAAACAATCTTTACTCTCTTCTCTCTTCCCTCGGTACCCTCTCTACCTTCTGTTCTTCTTTTCTGATCTATTTTACATGCAGTTCGGAGGATAAAATTGAAAAACAAAATTCGAGAAGTAATCGTGGGGCAGCCGCAATTCGATTCGATTGAACCTAAAGGCCGCCCACAACAGAATTGATTCTATATTTCATGGTTTTCAATAGTTCTCTTTTCAATTTTTCTCCTTCTGTCCCGTAGCGCGTTTGTCCAATTGTAGTTGAAGCTTGTTTCAAGTAAGCTTTTGTGTAATGGTTAATAGGCTGTATTATCTGTTAAACCGTACGATTAATAGCTAAACTCTAATATTTGCAGGCTTAAGACTAAATAACTGCATTTTACGCTTGTCCATTAATTATCCACTTCCTTCCGAACTCTGCGGGACAAAGTCCGCCTTTCCCCTAGCTCTTTATCGGTTCAGCTGAGCTCCTCAATCCAGCAGAACGCCGAGGGTCTGATGGTGGCGCTGCGGCTGCGTCTGCGACTGCTATGCGGTCGTCGAGTGCTCCGACTTGACAGCCACTCCGCCGATGAGCTGCTCCTGGTGCGGGTGCAGGGACACGCCCATCAGGGCCATCGCCGTCTGGGCATTCGCATACATGCTGACATTGCCGCCGACGACGCCCACGCCCACTCCGTTGCCCATCGCCACCGCGGGGGTGGTGGAACTGGGGGGCACTGCTGACGTGATGCTGCTGGCGGAGGGGGCCCCCGTGCTGGGTCCTATGGCCCCACTGCCGCCGATGTAGTCGCTGCTCGTGCTCACCGCCGACACGGAACCGGCGCCGGACACGGAGGCGGGCACGGAAACGGGGAGGTGCTGTGGCTGCGGCTGAAGCTGCGGCTGGAGCTGCGCTTGCAGCTGAGGTTGCAGCTGAGGTTGCAGCTGAGGTGGCAGCTGCGGCTGCGTCTGCGACTGGTGTTGGGCCTCCAACTGCGTCTGAGGGAGCTGAGGTTGATGCTGGGCCGCCGCCGCCGCCGCCGAAGTGGAGGCGGACTCGGAGTCAATGCCGGCGGTAATGGCACCGCCCACCGAGGCGCGCATCCTCTCCGCGCGCTCGAGGCGCTCGTTCTCCTCCTGGGTAACTTGCAGGTGCGACTGGACCGAGGGCGGGATGGCGTGCACGTCCCAGATCTCCTCAAGGAACTTGGGCAGCTTGCGGTTCTTGAGCTTGAGCGAGAAGCACATTTCGGCGTTCTGGTTGCCCAGCGTGCGCAGCTCGGTCAAGATTGAGAGCAGCTTGGCGTAGAAGACGAGGCTCATGGAGTCGCCGCAGTGGCGGTTGAGTATATAAATGCGTAGCGTGTCGATGTAGTAGCTCTGGATCGCTTCGACTAGTTGGGCCTTCTCCAGGCCCGGCCGGTCCGAGAAGATCACAATGGCAGTGAGTAGCGCGTATTCGACGTTGTCCACCTTCATCGAGAACATTTGGCGGCAGAAATGCAGCAGGTCTTCAATGTTGTCGGCCATGCCGGCCATTTTGTACGAGTCCCGCGTGTAGGATCTGTTATTCGCAAAGAATATCGAGTCCGAGCTGTGGTCGTAGCGACGAGCCATGCGCAGCATCATAACCTCCGACGAGCAGGCCTATGGCGAAAAGAGCAGAGTTAGCTCTGCAGTCCTCCCAGGCCAATCGGTATTGCTACTTACCTTCAGTAACGTGATCTGGTCCTCCTGGGGAATCTTTGTAAACGCTGGCAGACCCTTGGCAAACTCCACAATCAGCTGGACTGTGAGTATGGTTATCTCGGTGATGTGCCGAAAGCTGACGTCCGTCTGGCTCTCGTTCTCATCGGGTTGACTCTGCAAGGAAAAAGAAGAGCTTAGACCCCGTGCGCTTGGAGCACCGCCGCAGGACCTACCATAATACGCCTGAGATCCTCTTCGGATGGCTGCTCGTAGCCATCCTGGTACCAAATTAACTTGTATATAACGGCCAACTGATTGTACGTTAATGGAGGTATATTGCGCGCTTGACACTTGGCCAAAATTTCATCAGGTAGTAGCTGTACACGAAAGACAAAGAGTGAATGTTACACAGGGATCTGACAAGGGGTCTCAAAGCCATCAACTTCATCCGGCATGACTCCAACTATCACCAATTTAGCATGAATCCTTACCGGAATAGTGGCATGCTGGGGCGCCTCGCATGTCATCAGGTCGAGAATCTCCTTCTTGACAAAGTCGTGAGCGCCGCCCGAGCCCAAACTGCCGCCGGTGCCGCCGTGCTGCGAGCTGGGGGACGTGGTCATCTTGTCCTTCTCCTTCTGGGCCTTCTTCTCGCGCCGCTTCATGGCGCACTGGTTCTCCGGCACGACGCACTCCGGCCGCATGCCCACGGCCAGGCACTTCTTCAGGCGGCACTCCTGGCACTTGCGCCGCATGTACATGTCCATCTCGCAGGCGCGCCCGAACTTGCAGCAGTACACGGCGCTCTTCGTCACGCTGCGCCGGAAGAAGCCCTTGCAGCCCTCGCAGGTGAGGGCGTTGTAGTGGTAGCCGGAGGCCCGGTCGCCGCAGACCAGGCACAGCTCCTCCTGTACCCGCGGCGCAGGACCCTTCTTGCTCTTCTTCGCATCGCAGCTCTCGTTCGCCGAGTATCCGTTCAGGCTGCTCGAGGGCGAGAGATCGTCGCGACCTGTTGGCGAGAGGGAGAGGGGAGACCGAATCTCGTTAGTATGGCTTTTCCAGCAGGCGATCCATAAAACATTAGACCCAAATAAATAAATTTTCGGTGGCGGGGTTCTATGTTCTCCGCCATTTGCATGTTTTGCAAGCTCCAAGCTCCGAATTCGATTCGAGCTCGTTTGCCTGCCAATCTGCGTCGCCGTATCCGCTAAATGGCAAACGGAGTTTGGCAGCGACCACCCCTCCAATGCCCGCGAGAAATTTAAAATTCAATTTACGTGTACGCTCAAAGTCAACGGAGTGGGGCACGAAATTATTCCCAACCAGCAAAATCGACCAAAGTATTGTTTGGACAGGGGAGTAGCGCCGTTGATACTGGAAGATTGTTCTCAAAAGTTTTAAAAGGTATATAACATTTTATTGACGGTTCTGCGGATGTCAAACTAATTCAATGGACCTGTTGTTAAGGGCTCCCTGCTCAAGATGATCCCTCCTACAATTCTGGAGATCGGTATTCAGGCAACACTTCTCGGTACTCAGTTTAAAATTTCATAATACTTTCCGTCTATAACCATCAAGACCTATTATCGATAACCGCCAAAGAAGGGACTGAGTGGGGATCTCGAACTATGAATGGCGCTGGAGACACATTTTGCAACTAGTCACGTTCGCAGCACTCCCTCAACGAGATAAAGAAATATCAAGTGCAAGTTTTCCCCACATAGCCACTGACTGTGTGGCAAGGAGCGGCAGTTAGAAGGGGTCTGAACGGGAGGGGCGGGAGTGGGCGTTGGCAGGGCACGAGTTCGTGTGGCAGTTGCAACTGCAACAGAAACTGCCACGGGAACGACAGTGACAGAAGCAGCGGCAATGGCAGTAGAAGGCAGGCCCAAGACACGTATCAGACACTTGACTAAAGTACAAGAAGCAGCAGGAATCGAAGCCAAAGCGGCTAAGACGTCACTTGGCCACAAGTGCGCCCGCCTCCTTCTCGGGCTTCAACTGCAGCCGAGTGCAACGCAGTGCATTGTCGGCTTAACACAGTTTCTCGCAACCATTCCTCTCCACTCCTCTGCCCACGGGGCGTATGGCCATAAATATTACCCATACGCCCCGTTGTCTTGGCTCCTGGCCCACGGCCACTTTCCGTCCCCTGCTGCAGTCGCCGCGTTTCAATTTCACTGCCAGCGAACGAAGGAGCGCCGAGGAGCAGTCAGAGGAGCGAATGAAATAAGCGACGGCGTCATGCAAACTTTGTCTGCTCCAGCGGCTCATGGAAAATGGAAAATGGAAAATGGGTAGACGCCAACTTGACTGCATTTTCACTCCACTCGAGCGGCGAGCCTGTGTATGTGCGCCAAAGTAGAAATGTGGAAAATTGCCGCTGCTTCGGCGGGGAAATCGGCCGGCTAAAAGTAAAAACCTGCTGCAGAAACCGGCTCCTCCAAGCAATGTCACGGTAGAAGGGGCTTGACTGCGTCCCACGGGATCGCCGCTGCAGGTCCAATGGAGCACAGCTAAGTGGGCGCCAGGCGACTGGAAAAGCTGCACCACCACCTGCCCAAACCGCGAGTTCCTTGGGCCCCGGAGAGCTGAGCGTGTGCACCACCAGCTTCATGACTGTCGGTAATTATTTCCCTACGCTGAAATGCAGCTTGCCTACAAACACCAAATTCAAACGGACCCACAGAGGGCCGCATTTCATTTTTCATCCGTGAAAAGACATTTTCCATCGCACGCAACGCCGGCAGAGGAGCGAAACGCCATCGGGTAAGAAACAAAGGCAGAACGGCAATGGATGAAAAAGTGGACGCCAAAGCGGCAACAGCGAAGCACAAAAGACACCCCGAGCCGCCCAACCGCCATCTAGCCGCCCCTTTGGAGCTGCCCACGTTCGGAGTTCATTGTGTTATTGTGCTTAGTCGCTCGGTCTCCGCTCGCCATTCCGCACTACATACCCACATAGTGCATGCCAGCGACTCCGCCGACTGGGGGCCAAGGCAGCGCCATCCGGAGGAGGAGGACGGGGCAGAAACCTACAGCAGTATACATATATGAACGTGGCCACGAAAAGCAACTGCAGCCAGAGCCCCACAAGCTCCACACTTCAGTGCTGGCAGTTCGCCCGCCAAATGAAAAAATATCGATTAAGTCGTGGTTTCGGAGTTCAGACTCCGCCGAAGGAATAAACATAATGCTAAATATCTGTGAGTTTCGAAACAAAATTAGACTTTAATTCTTCTTTAAGAGACCATTTCAGCACAGACCATTTTAGCACAGACCATTTAAGCGAAAGGTTTGCGATCCTAAATTTATGTGAGCCGTACTTTAAAAGCATATTTCATTTGGATCAGTTTACATTAATTTGTGTCAATATATACTAAAAGGTCACACATTCCTCAGTCATGACAAATTTGAAGAGTCTTAGGTCGTTTAGAAATATATTCGTTTATCTTTTTTCAGTTATAGTATTTAATAGCATTGCATAGTATAACTAGCTTAAGCTCAGCTATTAAATGCAGATGTCTAGCTTTTTTTAGGTTGCCCATCACTGGGCGCCCAGCAGCCTGCGCTCTTTTGCGTTTCGCTCGCTCTCCCGCAAACACCCTCTCTCCGTCTCGCTCACTCCGTGCCTCTCTGTCTGCTTGTGCCGTCTCCCTCGTGTTGCACGCCCTTGCTGAAAAAGCTGAAAAATGTTGATGTAGGCCTCGAAAATATGCAGTTTGCCTTTGGCATTGCCACTGTCACTGCGGGCAGCGCAGTCGGCGTCAGTCACCCCCAACCCCCTTTGCGTGTGCATGTGTATGTGTGAGCGGGAGAGCCGATTGCATGTCGCACAGGCTTCCGCAGTGGTATAGGTAAGTTTTCCCTTCTGGCTTCGTCCGCTGCATTTTGCATTCTGCATCTCATTTCGCCTCAGCTTTTCATTGCTTTTTTCGCACACACACTTTTTTGTTCTAGGCAAAGAAACGAAACTTTTTGTTACTGCTCCTGTTGTTTTTGTTGTTCACCTCTATTCTATAGCGAAAATGTCTCTTTGTATGCATTTTGCTTGAACCGGTGTGTGTGTGTACTGTGAATGCAATATTTTTAAGCGGCTTGTTTTCTGTGAATGCATAAAAAGAGGCGACGAAGAGGCAGAAAGGAGGCCTGAGCAAATAGCGCCTTCTGTGCAGAGAACAGCGAGCCAAAGTAAATAAGTTCGGAGGTGCCCCCTCCTGCAACCCCTCTCCAGTATTAGCAAGTTGAAGTCTAGTAGAGCCGAAAGCCATTGAAAAGTCTGACAAGTCGAAGTTTGCTTTAACGATTTGAAGCCCAGAAATAAAAGGCGAAGCTGAAATAATATCGATAATTTCGATTGATTCGATATCTTGCTCTTTAATCGACTCGTTCTTGTTTTAAGTGCTACAAGTAAGGTGGTTGGAAACGTAACATCTCAATATGATTTCACGGTGCCATTAATTTTTCAAATAAAGGGACGCATTACCTTGTTTAAAATAACTTTTGTTTAACTTTTTGCTTATATTATGTTTACATAAGCCCTGAATCTTTTTAACTATTGTAAAAATGCTTTAAAAGTAATTGCTTTTAAGATCAAGGATTTAAATATAAAAAGCTTTAATATTTATTTTATTACAATTTTAGTAACTTTCGTTGGAAGTTGGTTTTCATTGAACAGTCAGCAATACAAGGATCCATCTGATAAAAATGTTTGGCTTAATCTGGCCACACTTATAGTGTGTCTTTAAATTAGCCACTACCCAACTGAAATGATAAATTATGTTAATTGCAAGAAAAGATAGAAATCCTAAAAACCTAACATTTATGTTCGAAAAAAGCCAAACCTACAGTCTAAAATAAGTTGTCAACCTTTAACTATAATCAGAGATTTCAAAAACACTATGAAAATCTAAAAAGTGATAAACATTGCTAATCCCAAAATAAACCCCGCCACACATCAGTGACACATTTCTGTATATACATATCGCTCGTTTGTTTATCAACCAAATGAATTCTGAGTTTGACTACGTCGACATTGCAGGCGATTATATAAGCATGCGGGAGCCGACGACCCTAAATCAAAACAAGTTGAGCAGGCCCAACTAACCACCGAAACTGCAGAGTTCCCCCACGGGGATGGTTGTTTCAGGTGGTTGGGGGGTTGGGCCGGGTGGCTCCACCTTGGCTTTGGCCGTAGCTAGGATGATTTGTGATGGCCAGCCAGCCGAGTAGCTAGGGCCAAAATCAACCTAGTCCGCCTTCTGGGAGGGTTTTGGGGACTGTTCGAGCAGGGAACTCGTAGAACCGGAGTTGAAAAACTGTACCACATAGAGCGCATGTCCGATGCACTGTCTGCAGTTCTCTTTTTCCATCTCTTTCTCTCCCGCTCGCAATGCCCCATCTCTTTCTTTGTTTGGGGTTGCACACGTTTTTTTGTTTCAGGGGGTTCTCTAGTGCAAGGCTGCAATTTATTTTGCACGAGTTTGTCAGTTGTTAGGCACGTTTCACCACCCCCAAAACCCGAGCGCTCCCTACGCCTTCTCTGTGCTGGGATTATATGGTTGAAAAATTGATTTTTTCAGTTCGTTGGCATGTTGCCGCCTAGCCATGTACTTTCTTGTTTCTGACCAGGGGCAGGGACACGGACACGGACACGAACACGGACTCGGATCTGGATCCGGATCCGGAAGGGGTGGGGAGGGGAGGGAAGGGGGTGCACTGTGTGCAATAGGTGACTGAAAAATGATTTTTAACCTACTTTGAGCCCAGGTCGACATTTAGACGAGGGTCGTCGCATGACCTTTCGTGTGTTTCGGAACGCATTATATGGCTGCTTTTCCGCTTCTTCTTGCCTCAAATGCTTTGTTGCCGTTGCGCCATTCTAGAAAGAGCCACTGATTTTCATTTAGAGAACACTAGAAGGTGACGCAATCTTAGCTTCCACCATTTATAACTCCAAAATGGCTGTCTAAGCAAGTAGTGGAGAAAATAACACGACTTTAGTTTCCG